GGTTTCTGTTGGTGGGAGTTGGGGTTCATCTGATTTTGCTAATTTTAATTCGCTGTCGTGATATCTTTTTTGTTTCCCAGAATTTCTGATAGGGTTTTTTCCAGGTCTTTTTTATATCACCTCGTAATTGGATAATCTGTTCTCCATAATACAATTTTTTTGCCCTTCTTATCAGGCTGGTTAGGATTGACGAGTAACGTTTTGTTTGGGCTCTGGTTATGTGACCCATTCTGTACTGTTTTTCATATCGGTGTTTTGTATTTATGGATTTGAGAATGCTGGGTGTTAGCCAGGGACTGTTCGGTCTCTTAGCTGTCATCTGTTTAGTTTTTTAGGGGAGTGCTTGTTATAAAGGTATTGGGTCTTTTTTAGAAAATTATTAAAACATTCGTCAATATCTGTATAGATTTCTAGCTCAGTGTGCCAGTCAATGTTTGTTACTGCTGTTGTGAAGTTATTAATGGCTGCCTCATTGTGAAGTCTGAAGGTGACTTTAGTAGTGTCTTGGGGTATTTTACCAAGAGTTGTTATGAGGAAAGTAGGGTAGTGGTCTGTGGTATTATCTGTAATTATGCCTGATTTTAAAGGGGATATGGTGTTGGTCCAGATGTGGTCAAGTAGGGAAACACTAGTCTCTGTAACTCTTGTAGGTTTTGTTACTGTTGGTAGCAACATGCAGTTAGTCATTGTGTTTGTGAATTCAGTAACGTGTGGGTCCTGGTCTTGCAAGAGATTTATATTGAAGTCACCTGAGAGTAGTAAGTGATCTTTGTTCATGCATGCATCAGTTATCATACTTCCTAGGTTTTGACTAAATTGGCTAATGTTTGATTGTGGAACTCTGTAGATGTTTATCACTGTGAGAGGTTTTTGTAGGTATTTGGATTTGAATTTAGCTATTATATATTCCCCATGTTCATCGCTTGTGCAAGTATTAGTGATACATTCTAGTTGGTCTGAGTAGTATATAGCTGTGCCACCCCCTTGTTGGTCTGGCCTACAGTTGTGTATGACTGTGTAACCAGGAATGGCATAGACATCTGTAGTATCATGTTAGAAGATCTCACTGTCAAGGACCATAACATTGTATCAATCACATCTGCTAGAAAAATGACAGGATGCATAATGAGAACCTTCAAAACTAGGGATGCCAAGCCCATGATGACACTCTTCAGGTCGCTTGTTCTATCTAAGCTGGAATATTGCTGTATGTTACAACTTTGATGTCGTAACTTAAATAAGATGTTCCTGGCTTCTAAAGGCTGCTCACACTGCTGTCTAGGGGTTATAAAATTTCTCTGAAAACACAGCGAACCTTGGGCCAGCATGTACTCATACAAATTAAACATGAGTGCAAATAATTAACGTTTAAGGACACAAAAACTCACCTATATAAAAATATATATTAATATAATAATAATAGCTTACATACAACTTACAATCTACTCCAAAAAAAACCCACCACACTCCAGTTCACATTAACTCACTAGCACATTGCTACTAATGAGTTAAACAGAATAAATGAACATTTATGAGCAGGGAGGCTCCATGACACCCCCCCCCCTTTCTGCAGACTACATAGCCTACAGTGGAAACGTTAAATACTCTCCATAACACAAGCCCTTGCATACTAGGGCTTTACAAATAAACATGAGACCACTTAAATGCAAACACCTATGGTATACACTAAAAATCTTAACAAAATTACGTACTCAAACTACCGCCCAAATATTATGACTTCACCCCGTGACCACCCGTCTGGTACTGAACTAAACACACTTCTCATCAGCTCATGTCCTGGCCACTGCCTGACTGACAGGAATAAAACACGTTCGCTTGCAGGGAATAAGACACTTCCACTTTCTGTATACTACTTGGTAAATGACATGATATATGGAACGTTATTTTATATAAATATTGTTTTTTACAGTACTCCGTAATACTGCACACTAACAGCACCTTTCAAGTCTGGTGAAATTGCTGACCTAGAAAACATACAGAGAACCTTCATGGCACACATAACTGCGATAAAACACCTCAATTACTGGGAATGCTCAAAGTTCCTAAATCTGTAATCCCTAGAATGCAGGCAGGAGAGATACATGATCATATACACTTGGAAAATCCTAGAGGGATTGGTACCAAATTTGCACATGCCCCATGAAAGCAAAAGACTCGGCAGACGATGCAACATCCCCCCAATGAAAAGCAGGGGTGCTAGTAGCACGCTAAGAGACAACACAGTAAGTGTCAGGGACCCAAGACTTCAACTGCCTCCCAGCATACATAAGGGGGATTACCAATAGACCCCTGGCTGTCTTCAAGACCCTTGGCTGTCTTCAAGAAGGTGCTGGACACTCACCTAAAGTCAGTACCTGACCAGCCGGGTTGTGGTTCGTACGTTGGTTTGCGCGCGGCCAACAGTAACAGCCTGGTTGATCAGGCCCTGATCCACTATGAGGCCTGGTCACAGACCGGGCCACAGAGGCATTGACCCCCAGATCCTTCTCCAGGTATACTTCAGGTATTCTGTGCCAATGCAAGTGGGGATTGCAAACTGAAGCCCCCACTGATCTACCACTCTGAAAACCTGAGGACCTTTAAAAACATAACATACAGAAATCTCAGTTACCTCAGTTACCAGAGACAGAAAAGAGAAGGGGACTCTCCTTCCAAACAATAACATTTCCTCCTCCTCCCTTCTTAGCACTATGCTAGTAGGCACTCCACTTTTTTCAGAAAAGTGAAGTGAGGTTATATTTGCATTTATTTCATCTAATTCTTTTGTGTTTATGCATGTAGTTTAGTATTAAGCAGTGCTTAAATTATTTTATACAACCCCATCAGTGTATAATATGCCATTAACAATAGGATTTTTTCAAGGGAATGGATTAATTGTTTTCCCTATACAGTGGACCCCCGGTTAACGAACTTTTTTCATTCCAGTAGTATGTTCAGGTGCCAGTACTGACCGAATTTTTTCCCATAAGGAATATTGTGAAGTAGATTAGTCCATTTCACACCCCCAAACATACACGTACAAACGCACTTACATAAATACACTTACATAATTGGTCGCATTTGGAGGTGATCGTTAAGCGGGGGTCCACTGTATTTCTTACGGAAAATTCGTTTGGTATACATCCTGTTTGGTATATGTTCAAGGTCCAGGATTGGATTAAGGACATATACAGGAAGGCCCCACTTATACGGCGGGTTAGGTTCCAGGCTACCGCCGTAAAGCGGAAATCGCCGTAAAGTGGAACACCCTTTTTTTCCACTTATAAATGCATACAAACACTAGATAACAAGTTTACACTAACATATATTAAGTTAGCAATAGAACCAGGCATCAAAAAACAATAAAAAGGTACAATACACACATAGTGCACTCATTACTTACCTTAAAATATTTATAGTCTTAATCTAGGGTGAGACAAGTAGTATTTATTGTAAGAAATCAAGTGTGGTATGTATTGTAATAGCCTCACCAGGCCACCCCACCCACACATACTATTCTATGATATTTAAGCATCCCAGAGCGATAAAATGTATATACAGTTCACTCATTACTTACCTTAAAATATTTGTAGTCTTAATGTAGGGTCAGGAGTAAGTAAATGAGATAAAACGAATAAATGAGAGAGAGAAAGAATGAGTACATGAGAGGGGGCAGGCGCAGTTATGTAAACAAACCAGGGGAAGGTAAGTTTTGTAAACAAACGAAGTGTACACGTCTGGTTGTGTACAAGTTACATTGTGTACAGGTTGTCTCTACATTGATACGGTAGAATTAATAAAGAAGAACACTCCCATTCTCATGTAACATCATTTTGAGAAGAAATGAAGCTCTGAGTGAAGGCAATGGAAATAAGTCACACTGACTTTTTTGGTTATCCTAGGTTCTCTACACGTATGTTGTTATGTATGATAATCTATGTAACTGTATTTGTGTATACCTGAATAAACTTACTTACATACATACGAAAGGAATAATTTTCTACAGTTACCCCCGAGTTAACATTTACTCTTATCTTAGATTAGAGAAAATGTTATTCTTGGCGTCCTTGTACAAGTTATGTGGCTCCCACATCTTATATTTATGTTTATTTATTCTATTGTGGGTGTATTTATCATCTTTTTTATGTTATGTATCGTGTTTATTATATAATTTTGAAAAAAATAATCATGGATGGATTAATGAAAATGTGTATATTACCGTAATATACGACATTTAATGAGACTCGGTATTGTTATTATCACCACTTGTGCAAGTCGTCTGCTACGACATCTCACATTTGTTTATTTATTCTACTGTGGGGTGTATTTATCTTATTTATATGTTATGCATCGTGTTTATTATATGATTTTGAAAAAAATATTCATGGATGGATTAATGAAAATGTGTATATTAACGTAATATACGACATTTAATGAGACTCAGTATTGTTATTATCACCACTTGTGCAAGTCGTCATGCTACGACATCTCACATTTGTTTATTTATTCTACTGTGGGGTGTATTTATCTTATTTATATGTTATGCATCGTGTTTATTATATAATTTTGAAAAAATATCATGGATGGATTAATGAAAATGTGTTATTAACGTAATATACGACATTTAAATGACTCGATGTATGTAAGTTTATTTAGGTACAGGTATACATAAGTATAATTATCAGAGTATATATAAAATATGAAATAACTTTTAAAAACATTTGAAATTTTGGAGTTTCCAGACAAAATGGAGAGACTTAGTGCTTACTGAGCTCATGGAGAATGTAAACAAACAGGGTGGGGCACGGTGACCGTATTAGAAAGTCAGGTGGGGGGAGCCGTATAGTGAGTTTTGGTCATAATTTGAAATGTCCGTATTAGCGGAACGCCGTAAAGTGAAACGCCGTAAAGCGGGGCCTTCCTGTACTGAGGTACCACTGTATAATAATGATATACACAATACAGGAGATTCTCAATGTATTATATTTTGACAATTTCAGGGAGATGACGGTCACATTGACTCAAAGACTGGCAGCCATAACTACTCCATGGATGTTGACTTCATTGAAGTTAAAGACGGTAAGTTGTGATGAAATGTCATAGAATCTGTGACAATTAGATATGGAAAAGACTGATATGCAACATTTTCGATTCATTTCACGTGTTTCCAACCTTGCCTTGGTTCAATCTCTGGCTGGGTGGAGACATTAGGCATGTTTCCTTAAGCATGTTACCTGCTGTCCATGTTCACCTAGCAGTAAGTAGGTACCTGGGTGTTAGTTACCTTACACCTTCTGTCACTGTTCACCTAGCTGTAAGTAGGTACCTGGGTGTTAGGCAACTGTTGTGGGTGGCATCCTTGTTTTTTTTTTTTTATTTCTATTAACACATCGGCTGATTCCCACCAAGGCAGGGTGGCCAGAAAAAAAAACTTTCACCATCATTCACTCCATCACTGTCTTGCCAGAAGGGTGCTTTACACTACAGTTTTTAAACTGCAACATTAACACCCCTCCTTCAGAGTGCAGACACTGTACTTCCCATCTCCAGGACTCAAGTCCAGCCTGCCAGTTTCTCCAAATCCCTTCATAAATGTTACTTTGTTCACACTCCAACAGCACACCAATTATTAAAAACCATTTACCTCCATTCACTCCTATCAAATACACTCATGCATGTTTGCTGGAAGTCCAAGCCCCTAGCACACAAAACCTCCTTTACCCCCTCCCTCCAACCTTTCCTAGGCCGACCCCTACCCCGCCTTCCCTCCACTACAGATTTATACACTCAAAGTTCCATTCTCTCTACATGTCCAAACCAACTCAACAACCCCTCCTCAGCCCTCTGGATAATAGTTTTGGTAATCCTGCACCATTTCCTAATTTCCAAGGTACGAATTCACTGCATTATATTCACACCACACATAGCCCTCAGACATGACATCTCCACTGCCTCCAGCCTTCTCCTTGTTGCAACATTCATCACCCATGTTTCACACCCATATGGGAGTGTTGGTATAACTATACTCACATACATTCCCCTCTTTGCTTCCATGGACAAAGTTCTTTGTCTCCACAGAATCCCCTGTGCACCGCTCACCCTTTTCCCCCTCATCAGTTCTGTGATTCACCTCATCCTTCATAGACCCATCTGCTGACACGTCCACTCCTAAATATCTGTATACATTCACCTATCTCCCTCCAATCTGATATCCAATCTTTCATCACCTAATCTTTTTGTTATCCTTATCACCTTACTCTTTCCTATATTCACTTTTAATTTTCTTCTATCACATACCCTACCAAATTCATCCACCAACCTCTGAAACTTCTCTTCAGAATCTCCCAAAAGCACCGTGTCATCAGCAAAGAGCAACTGTGACAACCCCCACTTTGTGTTTTGATTCTTTATCTTTTAACTGCACACCTCTTGCCTTGGGGGTGGTATCATACCTTTAACAGGGCTGGGCTTTGAGATGACCTGTATAAGTGGAAAACAGGAATAAATAAAGGGAATGTAAATAACTTGCTAGAAATATATAGGAGGAGAGAGAGAGATTTTGGGAGATGTTAAGTGAATGTATAGGAGCCTTTGAACCAAGTGAGAGAGTAATTGTGGTAGGGGACCTGAATGCTAAAGTAGGAGAAACTTTTAGAGAGGGTGTGGTAGGTAAGTTTGGGGTGCCAGGTGTAAATGATAATGGGAGCCCTTTGATTGAACTTTGTATAGAAAGGGGTTTAGTTATAGGTAATACATATTTTAAGAAAAAGAGGATAAATAAGTATACAAGATATGATGTAGGGCGAAATGACAGTAGTTTGTTGGATTATGTATTGGTAGATAAAAGACTGCTGAGTAGACTTCAGGATGTACATGTTTATAGAGGGGCCACAGATATATCAGATCACTTTCTAGTTGTAGCTACACTGAGAGTAAAAGGTAGATGGGATACAAGGAGAATAGAAGCATCAGGGAAGAGAGAGGTGAAGGTTTATAAACTAAAAGAGGAGGCAGTTAGGGTAAGATATAAACAGCTATTGGAGGATAGATGGACAAATGAGAGCATAGGCAATGGGGTCGAAGAGGTGTGGGGTAGGATTAAAAATGTAGTGTTAAGTGTTCAGCAAAGTTTTGTGGTTACAGGAAAGTGGGTGCAGGAGGGAAGAGGAGCGATTGGTGGAATGATGATGTAAAGAGAGTAGTAAGGGAGAAAAAGTTAGCATATGAGAAGTTTTTACAAAGTAGAAGTGATGCAAGGGGAAGAGTATGTGGAGAAAAAGAGAGAGGTTAAGAGGGGTGGTGAAGCAATGTAAAAAGAGAGCAAATGAGAGAGTGGGTGAGATGTTATCAACAAATTTGTTGAAAATAAGAAAAAGTTTTGGAGTGAGATTAACAAGTTAAGAAAGCCTAGAGAACAAATGGATTTGTCAGTTAAAAATAGGAGGGGAGAGTTATTAAATGGAGAGTTAGAGGTATTGGGAAGATGGGGGGAATATTTTTTAGGAATTGTTAAATGTTGATGAAGATAGGGAAGCTGTGATTTCGTGTATAGGGCAAGGAGGAATAACATCTTGTAGGAGTGAGGAAGAACCAGTTGTGAGTGTGGAGGAAGTTCGTGAGGCAGTAGTAAAATGAAAGGGGTAAGGCAGCTGGGATTGATGGGATAAAGATAGAAATGTTAAAAGCAGGTGGGGATATAGTTTTGGAGTGGTTGGTGCAATTATATTAATAAATGTATGGAAGAGGGTAAGGTACCTAGGGATTGGCAGAAGCATGCATAGTTCCTTTGTATAAAGGCAAAGGGGATAAAAGAGAGTTCAAAAATATAGGGATAAGTCTGTTGAGTGTACCTGGTAAAGTGTATGGTAGAGTTATAATTGAAAGAATTAAGAGTAAGACGGAGAATAGGATAGCAGATGAACAAGGAGGCTTTAGGAAAGGTAGGGGGTGTGTGGACCAGGTGTTTACAGTGAAACATATAAGTGAACAGTATTTAGATAAAGCTAAAGAGGTCTTTGTGGCATTTATGGATTTGGAAAAGGCGTATGACAGAGTGGATAGGGGGGCAATGTGGCAGATGTTGCAAGTGTATGGTGTAGGAGGTAGGTTACTGAAAGCAGTGAAGAGTTTTTTACGAGGATAGTGAGGCTCAAGTTAGAGTATGTAGGAAAGAGGGAAATTTTTATCCAGTAAAAAGTAGGCCTTAGACAAGGATGTGTGATGTCACCGTGGTTGTTTAATATATTTATAGATGGGGTTGTAAGAGAAGTAAATGCGAGGGTCTTGCAGAAGGCGTGGAGTTAAAAGATAAAGAATCACACACAAAGTGGGAGTTGTCACCAGCTGCTCTTTGCTGATGACACTGTGCTCTTGGGAGATTCTGAAGAGAAGTTGCAGAGATTGGTGGATGAATTTGGTAGGGTGTGCAAAAGAAGAAAATTGAAGGTGAATACAGGAAAGAGTAAGGTTATGAGGATAACAAAAAGATTAGGTGATGAAAGATTGAATATCAGATTGGAGGGAGAGAGTATGGAGGAGGTGAACGTATTCAGATATTTGGGAGTGGACGTGTCAGCGATGGGTCTATGAAAGATGAGGTGAATCATAGAATTGATGAGGAAAAAGAGTGAGTGGTGCACTTAGGAGTCTGTGAGACAAAGAACTTTGTCCTTGGAGCAAAGAGGGGAATGTATGAGAGTATAGTTTTACCAACGCTCTTATATGGGTTGAAGCTATGGGTGATGAATGTTGCAGCGAGGAGAAGGCTGGAGGCAGTGGAGATGTCATGTCTGAGGGCAATGTGTGGTGGAATATAATGCAGAGAATTTGTAGTTTGGAAGTTAGGAGGAGGTGCGGATTACCAAAACGTTGTCCAGAGGGCTGAGAAGGTTGTTGAGGTGGTTCGGACATGTAGAGAGAATGGAGCGAAACAGAATGACTTCAAGAGTGTATCAGTCTGTAGTGGAAGGAAGGCGGGGTAGGGGTCGGCCTAGGAAAGGTTGGAGGGAGGGGTAAAGGAGGTTTTGTGTGCGAGGGGCTTGACTTCCAGCAGGCATGCATGAGCGTGTTTGATAGGAGTGAATGGAGACAAATGGTTTTTAATACTTGACGTGCTGTTGGAGTGTGAGCAAAGTAACATTTATGAAGGGATTCAGGGAAACCGGCAGGCCGGACTTGAGTCCTGGAGATGGGAAGTACAGTGCCTGCACTCTGAAGGAGGGGTGTTAATGTTGCAGTTTAAAAACTGTAGTGTAAAGCACCCTTCTGGCAAGACAGTGATGGAGTGAATGATGGTGAAAGTTTTTCTTTTTCAGGCCACCCTGCCTTGGTGGGAATCGGCCAGTGTGATAATAATAAAAATAATAAAAATATATAAGTCTTATTTAAGGTTTGTTCATTACTCAACAGAACCAATAAATGAGGAAGATTGGGCAGATAGGAATGATGGCTTCTGTGGAGTGAGTGTCGAGGGCAATAACAGAGATGATACCCAAGATGCCACAACGAACTTGTCCTGGGAGATGCCCAGCCACACCCAGGTAAGAAGGTGTAAGAACTGGATGCTTGTTGCTTTCTCCTGGATTTGCAGTTGTTTTGTATAGTTTGATTGTAAAGTCTCAAGAGCTCTACCAATTTTGGAAATCAGTTTAAATTTTGATTTCAGAATTTATTTCCACGTGATGCATTGTTCATGCAGGAATGGGTGACCTGTGATAATGCAGGTAGAAAGCTTATGCTTATGCAGAGCATTTTGGGCAAGCTTAAACCTGACTTTAGACTACAAGGGCAATAACATTATTTTTTATTAACACATTGGTCGTGTCCCACCAAGGCAGGGTGACCTGAAAAAGAAGAAACACTTTTATAATCATTCACTCCATCACTGTCTTGCCAGAGGCATGCCAATACTCCAGTTCAAAAACTGCAGCCTATCAAGACCCCTCCTTCAGAGTGCAGGCACTGTACTTCCCACCTCCAGGACTCAAGTTCAGCTAACCAGTTTCCCTGAATCCCTTCAGGGAAACTGGTTAGCCACAAAAGAGCAAATAGAAATTTAAATTTGAAGATGGATCGAAGCATTGCAGGCTTTTGGTGAATATGTAATACACCACAGGGTGTATGACTCTACCCAGTAGGATGAATCTTGTTGCAGTCAACTGGCCCAGTACCTTACACATTGGCCTGGAGTTTTACCACCCACTTGCCATGAGTTCTAACCCAGCCTGTACCGTTGTTTTGTGTTATCAAGTGGTTTCTCCTGGATTGGCAGTTTTTTTGTTTGGTTTGATTGTAAGTTCTCAAGAGCAATAACAAATATTTGGAAATCAGTACAAATGCCAAATTGAAAATTTATTTGCACATGATAGATTGTTTGTACAGGAATGGGTGACTCTTAATAATGTTTTTTTTTTTTTTTTTTTTTTTTTTTTTTTTTCAACAAACTGGCCGTATCCCACCGAGGCAGGGTGGCCCAAAAAGAAAAACAAAAGCTTCTCTTTTTAAATTTAGTAATTTATACAGGAGAAGGGGTTACTAGCCCCTTGCTCCCGGCATTTTAGTCGCCTCGTACAACACACATGGCTTACGGAGGAAGAATTGTGTTCCACTTCCCCATGGAGATAAGAGGAAATAAACAAGAACAAGAAATAGTAAGAAAATAGAAGGAAAGTCAGAGGGGGTGTATACAGGGCCGGATTACCGCATAGGCAAACTAGGCATTTGCCTAGGGCCCTGCGCATTTGGGGGCCCCGCGGTCCAAGGGGTTCAGGGGCTCATCCAAGACTGCGCACATGGTGCAAGTGCAAAGGGGTCCCTACCTAAAAAGTTCAAGTGTTTGGAGAGTAAAATTGATTTTTAAAAATTAATCAAAACAAAAATAAATAATGAAATAAAATAAAATAAAAATAAATAAACCTAACCATAGATGGCAACACTCAACACGCCTTTGTTTACATCAGAACAGCTGTGTTTTCCCGCTAATGGGTGAGTATGGGAGATTCCTCTCCAATTTTCTGTAGTAACTACACGTTATCTAGACTTGTACTGTGACAAATTAACTGAAGTGTTGTTGATAGACATTGATGTGTATGGATAAATGTTTGTTTTCGCCTCTAAATGTTAAGGGAGGTACCTGATAGGGATACTTGACCAGTAAAGACGCATGGACCAGTAAAGACGCATTTTTGGTAAAAATACTATAAAGAAAAACCTAAAAACGCAAACTGACTTCCGTTTGTAGAATTTAAAAGCACTTTGTCCTGTCTTTAAGTCTTTATCATTTCAATAACAGATCTCAATTGATTGATGTTCTACATCACTTCCGTCGCAAATGCTTAGTTTTCAAGTTGCGACGGAAGTGATGTAGAACATCAATTAATTTACTACATATTTCCCCAGAAACACATAAGCCCCCCCACCCCCAAGCTGGAAGGGGTCGCTTCGCTTTCCCGTAACTCAAAGGGTCCCCGCCAATCTGAATAGCCTAGGGCCCGGAGACTTCTTAATCTGGCCCTGGGTGTATATACAGGAGGGCCCTGCTTTACGGCGTTCCGCTTTACGGCGTTCCGCTAATACGGACATTTCAAATTATGACCAAAACTCACTATACGGCTCCCCCCACCTGACTTTCTAATACGGTCACCGTGCCCCACCCTGTTTGTTTACATTCTCCATGAGCTCAGTAAGCACTAAGTCTCTCCATTTTGTCTGGAAACTCCAAAATTTCAAATGTTTTTAAAAGTTATTTCATATTTTATATATACTCTGATAATTATACTTATGTATACCTGTACCTAAATAAACTTACATACATCGAGTCATTTAAATGTCGTATATTACGTTAATATACACATTTTCATTAATCCATCCATGATATTTTTTTTCAAAATTATATAATAAACACGATGCATAACATATAAATAAGATAAATACACCCCACAGTAGAATAAATAAACAAATGTGAGATGTGAGCAGACGACTTGCACAAGTGGTGATAATAACAATACTGAGTCTCATTAAATGTCGTATATTACGGTAAATACACATTTTCATTAATCCAATCCATGATATTTTTTTTCAAAATTATATAATAAACACGATACATAACATAAAAAGATGATAAATACACCCCACAATAGAATAAATAAACATAAATATAAGATGTGGGAGCCACATAACTTGTACAAGTGACGGCAAGAATAACATTTTCTCTAATCTAACATAAGAGTAAATGTGTTACTGGGGGTAACTGTAGAAAATTATTCCTTTCGTATGTATGTAAGTAAGTTAATTCAAGTATACACAAATACAGTTACATAGATTATCATACATAACAACATACGTGTAGAGAACCTAGGATAACCCAAAAAAGTCAGTGTGACTTATTTCCATTGCCTTCACTCAGAGCTTCATTTCTTCTCAAAATGATGTTACATGAGAATGGGAGTGTTCTTCTTTATTAATTCTACCGTATCAATGTAGAGACAACCTGTACACAATGTAACTTGTACACAAACCAGACGTGTACATTTCGTTTGTTTACAAAACTTACCTTCCCCTGGTTTGTTTACATAACTGCGCCTGCCCCCTCTCATGTACTCATTCTTTCTCTCTCTCATTTATTCGTTTTATCTCATTTACTTACTCCTGACCCTACATTAAGACTACAAATACTTTAAGGTAAGTAATGAGTGAACTGTATATACATTTTATCGCTCTGGGATGCTTAAATATCATAGAATAGTATGTGTGGGTGGGGTGGCCTGGTGAGGCTATTACAATACATACCACACTTGATTTCTTACAATAAATACTAACTTGTCTCACCCTAGATTAAGACTATAAATATTTTAAGGTAAGTAATGAGTGCACTATGTGTGTATTGTACTTTTTATTGTTTTTTGATGCCTGGTTCTATTGCTAACTTAATATATGTTAGTGTAAACTTGTTATCTAGTGTTTGTATGCATTTATAAGTGGAAAAAAAGGGTGTTCCACTTTACGGCGATTTCCGCTTTATGGCGGTAGCCTGGAACCTAACCCGCCGTATAAGTGGGGCCTTCCTGTATATGCTTGTACATGTATGTGTAGTGTGACCTAAGTGTAAGTAGAAGTAGCAAGACGTACCTGTTATCCTGAGTGTTTGAATATCAAAATGGTATACAATACCGACAGGTTGGTAGGTAAGACACATAGGCAACAGTTAGGCAACTTTATTCCGAAACGTTTCACCTACACAGTAGGCTTCTTCAGTCGAATACAGAAAGTAGGCAGGAACAGTAGAGATGTGGAGACGATGTAATCAGTCCATCACCCTTAAAGTTGTAGATTTGAGGTTGTCAGTCCCTCAGCCTGGAGAAGTTCAGTTCCATAGTCTGGAACTATCTAGTTCCAGACTTTGGAACAGATATTATTGTAATTGCTCAGCATTAACCCTTAAACTGCCCAAACGTAGATCTACATTCACGTGAGTAGCGCTCCAAATGTAGATCTACGTTTTTTTCACATAAGAAAGAATGTAAAATAGAAAGTTCGGAGTGCTACGCACATGAACGTAGATCTACGTTTGGATAGTTTAAGAGTTAATAATCATTTTATATAAGCAAATCTGCATAAAAAAGATCACTTCTTTACTAAACATCCTTTTATATGAGTTTATTGTTTCTAAGAAAGTTCCCTTATTAAACTAAATACAGTGGACCCCCGCTTTACGATCAGCTCCCAATGCGACCAATTATGTAAGTGTATTTATGTAAGTGCGTTTGTACGTGTATGTTTGGGGGTCTGAAATGGACTAATCTAATTCACAATATTTCTTATGGGAACAAATTCGTTCAGTACTGGCACCTGAACATACTTCTGGAATGAAATAATATTGTAAACCGGGGGTCCACTGTAGTGTAATTTCATGAGTTTTTCTTCGTTTCATACTTTTTGTTTTATTACCTTCAGAAAAAGGTCCTCTACCATTTCATAAGGAAAAATACATAACAATTTTTTTTTTTTTTTTAAATTCTTGGACTCTGTGGACAAGGCGTAGAACTACGACCTGGACTCTCAAAGTGACTCAAGAAATCGTAATGACACGGGGGTATGGTTTACTCTCAAAGTGTTTAATACCAACCAAGTATCAGTGACCTTGTTGATGTATTCTTACCATCAATACCAACCAAGTATCAGTGATCTTGTTGATGTATTCTTACCATCAATATCAACCAAGTAACAGTGACCTTGTTGATGTATTCTTACCATCAATATCAACCAAGTATCAGTGACCTTGTTGATGTATTCTTACCATCAATATCAACCAAATATCAGTGACCTTGTCGATGTATTCTTACTATCAATATCAACCAAGTATCAGTGACCTTGTTGATGTATTCTTACCATCAATATCAACCAAATATCAGTGACCTTGTTGATGTATTCTCACCATTAACCCTTTGACTGTTTTGGTCATATATATACGTCTTACGAGCCAGTGTTTCGGATGTATATACAGTGGACCCCGCATAACGATTACCTCCGAATGTGACCAATT